AGAAGCGCATACCTATTAAAGAAATCAATGATCAATGTGAGTTTAGATCTGCTAACAGAAATCTGGCGGGTTTATTACAATATTATTTGCAAAAGCTTTTGAAATAGCTACGAAAGATATACAAATTCCAATCTATATATATTTAAAGATTGTCACATTTTCGGATTTCGAAATGAATAAAATGGTATTTAATGGTTTTTATTGCTTTTATATTTTCACCATCAAAATTAAGTACAAATACTAAACTTACTTGTGTAAATGAACTTAATATAGTAATAAAACTTATCTGATACCATTTTCATTATATCTATATTAAGAATTTGAAAAATTGAGCTCCAAGACATCTGATATAACTGAATTCGTTGAGTTCTTTTGTGTCTATATGCCTTTCAAACATAGAATTAGATTAGTACATTCAATTATATAGGCTTAGTTCTACAGTAATGCAGTAGTTAAACATTTTGACTTGCCACCCCCGTAAATTAAAGGAGCATTTTCATTCATAAAATGTTAATAGTTTACACTTTCAATATCAATGGCCAATGTTTAAGGTTATGTGAAAAATTCATAAAACCAGATGGACTCCAACCTAAACACACTCTATTTACTTTTTTGTATTAGTTCCACTCTTAACTTTCGCACTGGTTTCTATGTCTTCACATATAGAAACTGAAAATTAATTAAAAATTTATTAATCTGAATACTAAGTAATAATATACCTATGTACGTAAATATACTTAAACAATTATCCTTTTGTTTTAAGCGTATGTGTAGGCAAATGAAGTAGTGTAGGTAGAGCGTGAGAATTTTGAATTTTTAAGGACACGTCGACACTTTTATGCGTTTTATTTATTTAATATTATTGTACAGCTATCATTAGAAAAGTCTAAAATTCTACATATTTGAAATCATTTTCATAAGTGACGCGTAGGCAGCAAGTAATCAAAATTGTGATTTATTTAATCAGAACTCACTTATTTGACCAATTTATTGAACTGTTTTAATTAAGAAATCTGCAATATGATTTGCACAAATATATAAAGTTCGAAAGAAACCGAAATAAAAAAAGAATCTTAATTAATTAAATTTTTATTCAGTGCAAATTTAAGTGAATTTTGTTGACAAGGTAAAGTTTAATTTTTATCTACAAAGGACAAATGTTATTTTAAGTGCAACATTTAAAGTGTAAAATGTATCGAAATACAAGTTATATGCTTGGCTTCAGCTTTTTCAAAAAGTTAAAATTAATTTTCACAGCAACAATAATTGTAATAATAATATGTATAATTAATAAACATTATATTCTGGATGGAAATTAAATAATTAATAATAATATTTGAATAATAAATTAAGTTTGAAACTCAATAAACACTGCAATATTTAAAAAATAATTTAGAATAGTTGATTTCAGTTTTTAAAAAGTTTTTGCTTTTTAAAAAGGTTTATGTGAATGAAATAAAAGCTTGTAAATAGTTTTTTTTTTCATTTTTAGAAAGTCTCGTATATAAACATATTTATATAGAGGAATATATAAAAATAAAAACAAGAACTAATTTACAAACTTCTTTTTCATTCACATAAACCTTTTCAAAAAACGGAAACATATAAAGAAATAAATTTAATTATTTAAACTGCATATAATCAATAAATCATTAAGTTAATTTAATTTAATTATTTCACTTAACTTTTTATTTATTTAAGTTATGTAATATAATATACAAAATTCTAATAATAAAGTGTTATAAAAAAATCATACAATTATTTATAATCAAATATTAGTAATATATAAATAACATATAATTATGAAATAAATAGTAAAATTTATCAAAAGTCATTATTTAAACATAATTTCTTAAACTAATTATTATAAATATTAATTATTATTGAAGATTTCCAATAATATTCATTCAATTCTTTCACAAATATTGCACAGATTCCTTTTATAATTTTTAATATTTAAAATGTCATTAAATCATTTAAATTTTTATTATTATATATTACATTTTATTATTTAAACAACTCAAAAATTATAATTTAAAAAAACATTTATTTAAAACATTAATGGAAAACCCTTAAACTAAGTGATAAAAAATTATAGATAATTTTTTCATGCATTTTTGAAGAAAAATTTGCTTTACTGAAGATTAATTTTAATAAAGTCTATATTAGTTATTTTACAGGTGGTTTCATAATTCCATTGCTGTAGAAAAGTTCATTATTCAGATATATATACATATAAAATTTATTATACAAATGTTAACTAATTACAAGATAGTATAATTTTTCAAACTCTTATATGCTCCTAAGATATAATATTTCCACCAAATTATAAAGGATTATTAAATGATTGCTAATAAAATGTTTAATTATTAAAATTATATATGAAGGATAATATCATTTTAATGATCAGCTTAGCCCTATTTACGTATATCAATATAATAAAAGTGTTTCTAACAACAAATATATGCCAATAATATTAAAGTTATTATAAAGAAAGCAATAGTTGCAATCAAATTAACAGTAGAGAGTAAAAACCTTTCGTTCGTATCAACAATTAAATAGTTTAAAGTCATTATAAATATTTGACAAAATGCTGTTTCTATTAATAATAAATTATTTTTGATAATAAAAATATTTAATTATATATATATTATCCAATATAATATTCGTCAAATTATAATAATTGCTGAATGCGATAGTAATGGATTGTAGTCTATGAGATCTATTGTGTTATTCATATAAAAGATCTTCTGAAGTAAGAATTAATTATAGATATTACTAAACATAGTAACATCCCTCGATTTAAGACACTACACCTTATTCGGTTCAATGAAAATTACTTGTTAAATTCAAAAAGATTGTATTTTTACAGGTAAAAATTTACCACTTAATAAACCCAAAAAGATAAAACATTACATTAGTTGAAAATATAAAACAAAATATTTTATAAAAAATGTAAATTGAATGTATTTATAATTTCCTTAATTACACTACTACTAACACTACTTGTTGAAACCTGAATTTAAATAAGGTTTCAACAACGACAAACCCAACAACATAACAAAATTCTTCAGAAACTCTCCAACTACAGAATTTAAAATATTCCACGTTAATAATCTATGAGAGAAATAAATGAAGGAGCAAAAAAACAAAATAAATAAAAAAGACACATATATATAAAGGTTGTGTTTTCAACACTGTCTATTGGAAAGAAAGAATTCTATTCTCCAATGAGAGTTAGAGAAGTACATATTTTCTGCGGAATGACTAAACATAAAATGTAATTATCCCACTAGAATTTTTGATGTGAAGAACCTACTGCCTTAATCTATATGGAGTACAAAGTCTCATATCCAAAGGCTAAGGATGTGAGACTCACTCAATCAATCATAGTTAAAATTTTCAAATGTATTAAAATTATCCTTAGAGTAGAAATGGATGATATTATATGTTAAATTTGATCCATGGGATTAATGGGAAAGGTGTGGGTAACATATCTTTCTTATGCATTAGAAATTTGAGAGATGTAATTGTCCAAAACAATCATATGTCGCTTCTGAATTCTGCTTATAAAATATTTACTAAACTTTTTTTAGGAACGGGTAAGGTAAATTGTAAAAAAAATACTTGGTAACTACTTCTCTGTTTTTAGAAAAAGAATGTTTAATATTTCACTTTCATCTTTACAGAGATATTTAAGAAAAGTCACATTTTCTATAGATTTTAGATGATTAACTTTACAGACGGGGGGAATATGATGTCAGTTCTATGTTTGTTGGGTATTTCAATAAACTTTAGCAAAAGTTCTGGTGAAAAAAATTTTCTATAGAATTCAAAGTAAAATCAGGCGTAAGGAAAATATTGCATATAAAAGTACTTCATTTACTTCTATTATTAGAAAATTGACTCCAAAGATCAATTTTTTTTTAAATCAATACAAATCTATGCTTATGCTGATGATATATCAATATTAGCTAGAAATACTAATAACGTAAAGAACTTGCCGAAGGTTGACGAGCTAATAAAGCGGTTAGGGTTTATGTTATTGAAGAAGACACAACATTTATGATTAAAATAAAAACGTAGTATAATTAATCGGTAAATAAACCATATAATTTTAAAAAGGAGTGTACATTAAAAACTTGAGTATTATTTTTGCTGACAGCAGTGATCAAACTACGATACTCCAAATAAATGTTCTCACCAACTAAGCTGTAAACCAAGCTGTGAAATACTGTGAAAAAACCCTTCTGAATCGTTGAAGTAAAATAATAAGTGTACGAAATTTCAGACACGTAGTGTGTGATTAAGATCTCTGGAATCAAATGTCATAGGAAGCTTCAGCATATCCAATACTATAATTCTAAGGACATTTTGATAACCAAAAAAGGCAAAGATTTTAAAATCGCGCATATAAGTCTCGCAATACCTATCACATATATTGAAATTTCACCAAATAATTAATTAGCTTAAAATTATAAATAGTAATACTTTAAATATGAATTAAACTAACGTATGAGAAACACATTAATTCAAATTAATTAATTAAAGAATAAAACCAGTTAATAATTTTATAATAGTATAATTTTTTCGGTGTCATCGGGATTTGAGCCCAGACCTTAACAGATCAGAACAATGATTAGAATTGCTCACTACTAGACTATCACCAACTCATTTATTAGATATTTATAAATTTTTATTTATTATTATATCCTAGCTGAAACCAATTTAACTTGAAAATCTAAAATATTAATCTTAAGTTAGAGTTTTCCAAAAAGTACAAATTTAATTTAATATTTCAAAATTTCACAGACTGTTTAGTTAAGCGTCACCACAATATCAATTATATTGTGCATCAAAATACTCTGTATATATGTATATTTATAAAGCTCTTAAAAATATTTTTTATTTTCTCACTGTAAAAACTAAAAATATTTTCCATTGTAATATATAAACTGTCGTATTAATCCTTTAACATACTATTCACTCCATTAAATCAGATGCAAACCAACAGCTTGCAACCGAGTAAATATGTCGGCCTTGTGGCTGACCTGATGCCGAATATTCGTCTCATGAAGTATTCCGGCTTATTTATGCATAATTTCACGGGTGGTTCAGCATTTATAAAGAAGGTTTATTCTTCAATTCATTTGGTGCTGATAACAGCACAATTCATTTTTATACTGGTTAATTTGGCGTTGAATGCGGAAGAAGTGAATGAATTATCCGGAAACACAATTACAGCACTCTTCTTTACACACTGCATAACGAAATTCATTTACTTGGCAGTAAATCAGAAAAATTTTTACAGGTGAGTTAAATTGAAAATAAAAACAAATATCAGCAACGAAAGTAATTGTAATTTTAAAACAAAGAGATTAAAACACAGCTTTCCTAATTGGCTTTGCAGCACTTAAATGAAATTAACTGAAACAGCTTTCTTAATCCTTGAGATCAAGTGTTGAGCTGAACAAAATTTTAGATTGAATTTTGATTCCTTTCAGAAATTTTATAAATTTATTCAATATTTTGTGATTTATGGTCTTCTGTTTTTTAAGGACACTTAACATCTGGAATCAGGTCAACACTCATCCGTTATTTGCGGAATCGGATGCACGCTATCACTCGATTGCATTGGCTAAAATGCGAAAACTGTTTTTTTTGGTTATGCTAACAACTGTGGCTTCAGCTGTTGGTAAGTGTTTATAGAAAAGATTCTATATATTATGCTATAAAAAAGGGTATTCAATTTGTCTTACAAAGTCATTGCAAGATGCACGAATTACAAAAATGCTACACTAAAATTACAAGAGTGCTAGCACAACTCTGTTGCAGAATTGCAACATAAAAAAGTTACAGATGTCAAAACAGCTTTTTTTGTTTTATTGCAAGCATATATACATGCGTTTTGGTATAGCAAGATTGCAAGAAACTTTGTGAGTGTATTTTGTTGTTGTCTATTTTAAATCCTTGCAATCTGTGCATTTCATTCACCATGCAATACAGATTGAATACCCCTATTGACATTTTTTAATTACATTTTTAGCTTGGACTACAATTACATTTTTTGGGGAAAGTGTTAAGTTCGGTTTTGATAAAGAAACGAACACAACAATAACTATTGATATACCACGTTTACCAATTAAATCGTTTTATCCCTGGGATTCAAGCAAAAGCGTATTCTATATGATTAGTTTTGGTCTGCAAGTTTACTATTTACTTTTCTCCATGGTGCACTCGAATCTCTGTGATGTATTATTTTGCTCGTGGTTGATATTTGCCTGCGAGCAATTGCAACATCTTAAGGGGATTATGAAGCCACTTATGGAACTATCAGCCTCATTGGATACTTATCGTCCTAATTCAGCCGCACTGTTTCGCTCATTATCAGCCAATTCCAAATCGGAATTAATTCATAATGAAGGTCAGTGATATTAATTAATAAATATTGTGCGCCATTCATTCACATTTTCATTACTTCCCTTCATAAGCAAAACGTAGTCACAATTTTTTGATTAATTTTCCAAAATGCTATTTGCCCCCATTCACTTTTGTTTACAGAAAAGGAGTCCACTGATTTGGATATCACTGGTATTTACAGTTCGAAAGCAGATTGGGGCGCACAATTTCGTGCACCGTCAACATTGCAAAATTTTAATGGTGTCAATGGTGTGGGCACAAATCCGAATGGCTTGACAAAAAAACAGGAAATGATGGTGCGCAGCGCTATAAAATACTGGGTCGAACGGCATAAGCATGTTGTCAGGTAAGGCATGTGCTGAAAGCTGTAAGCTGTCCATTTAGTATCAGTAAGATATTTGTATATCTGTGCATTTGTGTGAATTGTTTTGTGTTAACAACGGATGTTATTTTTGGTTAGTGGAAATGAAAGTTTGAATCTTTTAATGAAAATCCAAAGCAAATGTTAACTTCCAAAGCAGTTAGTAATCGTGGAATTATTGGCTTACATTATTTGTGTTGAGTCATATAATTTAAGGTTAATAAAGTTCTCATAAGAAAATAATTACATCCTAACTTAACTATGAAACTAAATCGAAGTTACCATTTCAAAAAATGAATTGATTTTTAAAGCATCTATTTATTTTCATATCGTACATACAGAAGAGTGATATAACAAATAGTCTCAAATGTAAAGTATATCTATATGTTAAGTAATTATTTTATACCTTAAATGAATCAACCCAATTAAAAACTTCAAGTAATGCTGTTAAAAATTGTAGCTCATAACACAATTCAGCTAATCTTAACGCTTTGTACGTAGAAATAAAATTAAACTTACTCTAAATTATAATTCAGTTCTCTTAATACACACTCTTATATATATTTAAGTATATATCAAAGTATATATTAATAGGAAAACTACCATTAAAAACAACATTGAATAAAAAAGGATAAATAATGTTATAGAGAACAATAAACATTTTTTTATTAATTTTTTTAAGTTTTTTACTGCTCATTTGACTATTTTCAAATATTTATTAACAAAGGTCTTTAGGAACATTTATTGGTTTTATTAATCTGTATATATATAACACTAATTTCTTTATGTAGACCCCTTGAGAAAAATATAACGTAACATATTATTCTCTATAATTAAAGTCAATAAAGACGCAGTCTAAAAGCTTACAAATTAAAAAAAATGTCATTCTTTTGTATATAACTAGGAAAGTCATTTTTTTAGGTGAATTCATTATTATCTCGACTTAAATTATTTTATAAAAAAAACATTTTTCTCAAATATAGAAAATATTTAAATCTATTTACATATACTGTTTATCAGAGTATGAATATTTTATATACATATGAATATCTTTGCTTATATGTGCAGTGAGATAGATAAGTAGATCCCTGCATTTTAAAAAAGTCACACTACTTGCAATACAAGCAGCCCACAACCTAAAACTTGCACCTTAGAATCTACTTGCTGCGTCAGATTCGTCTATAAGAACGATCAATCTTATAACAAAGACATATATTTCGTAAACTATGTTCAAGTTCTCCAGAGCATGTAATCAACGCTGTTATCTGTTTTACCAGTGTATGCTATTTCACCATTTTGCATATTAAATAATCTGTGTTTATCATCAATGTACATGGTGTAGAACAATCACAAATAAAACATCAAAAACTATAAATGACTAAACTATGTGAATAAGCTAAGTTCTATATATTAATTGTTGTAAACATGCTAATAATAATAGTAATAATCTATGATATATGGTCAAATATAGTAGGTATATATATTTTGCTAGATATAGGAACTACATATTTCGCATTTTCAATCAGTTTCATTTCTATCTTGTTCATACCAACAACGAAACTTAATAATATATTTAATATATCAAATATAAGACTTGACATATTGCCAAATGATAATCAAAGAAGCATTTTCAAGTTAAATCTTTTTGTGTAATTTACATGCAGATTAGTTGCAGCCATTGGTGACACCTATGGCGCCGCTCTATTGTTGCATATGCTGACATCTACAATCAAACTCACTCTTTTGGCATATCAGGCAACCAAAATCACTGGAGTAAATGTTTATGCCTTCACCGTTATTGGTTATTTGGGGTATGCCTTGGCACAAGTATTCCATTTCTGCATATTTGGAAACCGCTTGATTGAGGAGGTAAGTATACACAAAATATCCGCAAATATAGAGACAACGAGAAGAGATGAACAAACCAAAAAAAAAAATCCAAAATTGTCATTCTTTTTCTAGATGTATTGGGGAGTTTCACAACAACTTCACTGCAATCCGTGTTGTTGTCACATTCAAGAGTAGAAATACTTAATGAAGAATATTATAAAATATGATTGCATCCATAAAATTGTTAAAAGAAAATCTTTTAAGAATTTTACTCTAGGTTACTTTTGTTCACATTTAAAATATATATTCATACTGTACTGTTAATATATATTATATATATGGACATTATGTATAAATGTGCTTATATATTATTTTGATTTATCGTTTAATCCATTTTTTATTTCACTTTTTTTTTTTTGTTACATGCAGAGCTCATCCGTCATGGAAGCTGCTTACTCCTGCCACTGGTACGATGGCTCCGAGGAGGCTAAAACTTTTGTGCAGATTGTCTGTCAACAATGCCAAAAGGCAATGACCATATCTGGAGCAAAATTCTTTACCGTTTCCTTGGATTTATTTGCATCGGTACGTAGCTGAAAGTCGTTCTCACATAACTGTTATGCTGTTTCCATTAGCTGCACTCGTTGCTACTTGACATTGTTGTTGGCATTATATTTTAAGCAACATTTATTGTTAGCTATAATGCATGTCATGACATCGTTCCACACTACCAAGCAACGTCCTGTTGTGTCAAGAAATATTTCTCGATTTATTTCATTTTTTGGTTTACATGATTACATTTTATTTATTTGTGCCTTGTTTCATTTGTGCAGGTTCTGGGCGCTGTTGTCACCTACTTCATGGTCTTGGTGCAGTTGAAATGAACCAAACAAAGATTAGCAATAACAATAGAAACTCAACAAACTCAGCAAACTCGACAAAAACTCAACAAAAATTCAACAATCCTAAAATTTGGAAGGATATACTGCAATTTTATGTAGCCATAAGAAAAGGGATCCAAAGGAAAATCCGTGTGCCGTTTGGAAAATTTATCAATAAAAGTTTGTTGTGTATTTTCACATCATTTTATTTTAGTTTTTTAAGAAAGTTGTTGTCCATAGAAAATTGCTGGCTTTACTTGAAGATTTGAAATAGTTGAAGATAAGTTTTATTTGTTTTTAAGTAAATTGAAATTTACAAGCTATTTTAGGTTCATGCTTCAAATAAATGTTCTTTAAGAAAAAAAAAATAAACTTTTTGAATAAATATTGTTCTCTGTTGGAAATGATAAATTAGTAAAAATAAACAGTAGCAAATATTGCATAAATTAAAAATAAGAGGAAATTTATTTGTGTCTTGATGTTGAGGTAATGTAAAATCTGGAAAATATTATAAATTGCTGAAAATGATTTAATTAACACAAATTTAGAGAGTTCATTTTATCTTTTATAAGTTAATAAAATAGTACGTAAACAACAATATTATTTAAATGGATAAAGTGTTCTGTCGAGAAAATTTCTTTTTTAGTATTGTAATTTTCTATGCTATACATTGTTGAAGTAGATTAATAAAAAAACGACTTGTATACAACATTGCACTCTGTCCTACTACATAATCTTCTTCTGGAGTATTTTACTACAAAAAACATTATCTAAAGATTTATTTAAGTTCCGTTAAATACTAATATTCTGGCAATAATTCTTTTTCCCTGAAGTTCTGAAGTTGCTTAGTCTGCAATCAAAAGTATCTGCGAGAGAGCAAATATAATAGAGAAAGCAATTATTTGAAGTCCAGTTTTGCCGTTGTTGTGATCGACTTATTTCATGATGTATTATATTGTTCTTCAAACTCTGTGGTTTTTAATTTGGGGTTGTTTTTTTGGCAATATTCTTCGTTGAATCCACCAATAAAATATTGTTAGTGAGTTAGATTTATCAGTTCGACATAGAAACAATTAGAAGCAATAGACAGGATAGGATAGATATCCAAAACAGTCTAATTTCGAATAGGAGGAAAATCAATTATGTATTTAATTTTGTTAATGCAATGGACAGAGTGAAAAAAAAAACCAATTAGAGAGCATGCAGATAAACGAACGAAAAAATATTGAAATCTCTAATGAAGGTGTCTCATTACGACAAGTTAAAATATAAAATTACCAGGGCATCATTTTAAATGAATCGAAAGGAAAATCCATTACATAATTCATAATCGAAACCAAGAAACTTACCGACAGTTAGTGCAAACACATATAAAAAAGGAGATATAGACACTTAAACTATGCTCAAAATCCACAACTCAGTGCTCAAACCAATATCATTTTATTGGGCAGAAAGTTGACCTGAAAACGATATATAGCTCACCAAAGTAACAGACCACATACGCATGCTAGAAGTAAAGTAACATTTGAGGATATAATTTCGAAGATAGCGAGAAAAATGTTGTAGGAAATAAGAAGATTAACGCATAACGGTCAATTGGTTTGATATGACTTGGAAGTTAAAATAATTCTCTTCATTGAGTTCTTATAATGCTTGGAATTATCGGCCTATTCTTGATTATATTTCACTGTGAGTAAATCCATTTCGAACGGTTGTTGCTTTTAGTTCAACTAGCTATATGTTATACTAGCATGGTTTTGTTGTAAATGAAAACAAAACAAAGTACATTCCGTCAACAAACAAACTTCTTGAGCGTCTTGAACCATACGTCACTGTTGACAATTAAGTTTGAAGTTGTGAAAGATTTTGTTTATTTGGGAACCAATACGAAAAAAAGCCCTCTGTCGAGAAACAAAAATCATGTCTTACAAGTCTCTTATCATACCTGCCCTGCTGTATGGTGCAGGAGATAGGATAATTACCAATAGTAATGAAAAGACTTTAGGAGCATTCGCGTACCGTGACATTGACAAAGTTAAGCGCACACTAACTCAGCAGTTTCACTGGCTTGGTCATGTCGTGCGAATGGAAGAAAGCGCTCCGGCTACAAATATGTCTGATTTGGAACCTGCAGATGGAAAACATGGTAGAAGATATCCGTATTTGAGATGATCATTTTATACAGAGATTGTCTTAAATGTTGAAATACCGTTTAGAAATGTAACGTTTTAGACAGATACAATTATAAATTGTAATCATTTTATAGATAATGCTTGGTACTTAAAGTTTTGAAACACGGAAAATTCCATTTTTTTTTTAAATAACTCAGAAGGTATTAGTATTAGGTGAGCTTGTTGTTCCTATCATTAATTTTATTTCTTAAAAAAATATCATTTATCATTAAAAATTTAAAAAAAATAAATTAAAATTCATTTATAGAATAAAATCGGTTTCTGCAAATTTATTGGCTCGTACGAAACATATGTGATAGTTCAGATCCAAAAATAACCTATATTATATATAATAATAACAAAATTTTGTTTTTAAAATGGGCTAATTGGGCAATAGTTAAATAATATACTTTTTAAAAAAATTATACACGGACTATAAACTAATTAAATAAAATTCGATTATTTCCTAAGATCACTGATGAAGAGTACTCGGCAATACTCGAAACAGCGTTGTATGGTCAGCCAAATTTCAATAAAATTAAAATAAAATTTTTGTGTTTGTCCTTTCTTTCTTTCTTTACTATTCGAAAATTTTCTAAAAAAGGTATTCTAATTATCTTATAAAAATATTTCTTAATTCCCTTTTTTTATTTTCGTCTATTGCTGATAAGCGCTATGTAAAAATGATTGATATCATATATTTTTATATGCATACATATAAATACCGTTTTTTATTGAAACGAGTAGAACTTCAGTTATGCTTGCTGCAACAAAGAATTAATCCTTAATATTCTAACAGACATTATTCATATGCCGCCCATTACAATAACAAACACATAAGCTTGCATTTAAAAATTTTACAACAACAATTAACTAAGTAGTTTTTACTTACTCATGAATACTGCAAGGCATAAGTAAATTTTTGTTGTTGCATTTTTTAAACAGCAAAAATGGTTGCATGCATTTTATTATTAAATAAATTAAAAGTTATTCCACATTTTCTTGAATTTGTACATAAACACATAAGCATTTCTCATTTTATTTTAATTTAAATTTCAATTTTTAAGTAAATTATTTCACACCTGTTTAAATGTAAAATATTTTAAAATTTTTTGACATTGCGTAAGTGCATAAATGAAATTTTTTCTTTCGTACATTTTATTTAATATATCACATTATAGTAAATATTTTATTTAATAGAAAACATTTCAAATATAACATGTTCATAAATATTTGAGATTTTGTTATTAAATGCATTTATATTTCACATTTTTAATTTGAGTTTTTTAGTTCATTCAACACACAATTTTTATAAATTTGACGCCAATAACGTTACTTACGAAAATGACGTTTGTACACCAGTGTTGGGTAGTTGTTAAATTTAAATTTTTGAAATCAATATTTCGTTTTTCAAAAAAAAATAGTAAAAAATTTATTTAAACTACTTCCATTTTAATGCTTTTCAATTTCTTCACAAATTAATCAATTAAATTTTTGATTAATAATTATTTAATTATCTAATGCATATATTTGAAAAAGTGAATTAAATTAGTTTTTGAAAACTAAATAAAACACTGAAATTGTGAAAATTGTATACCAACAATACGGATAATAAATAAAAAATTAAAAATAATCCAAAATAATTAATTAAGAAAAATTTAATTTTGTATTATATATTTATTTATTATTAGACTCATGCTTCATGAGTATTATTATCAGCTTCATGAGTAAAAATGAAATGAAACCAAATTAATAAAACACTCTATTGAGAATGTTAGGCGAAAATTTATTTGACAAAACATTTGTTTACAAAACTATATGATAAAATGGAACTTAATTAAAAATTGGAAAATTGGAATTATATATAAAAGAATAAATATTTAATAAAATATTTACTAAACTTATTTATTAATTTACATTTTTTATTTTTAAGATTGTTATTTTTATTATGAGAAATATTATAAAATTTAATATATACACAGATGTCTTTTAATATTTAGTTTCAATTTCTCTAATTTAGAAATTATTATAGCATTAAAAAAGTCTACTAAAATTTTTTAAACCAATTTAATTTATAAATTTAATGAATTAGAAATATAAGTTTAGCTTTTTAAAACATATAAATCAAAACAATGCTTAACCATATCAACAGTGCTGCCAATATATTTGCTATCAAGTAATTTCCGATTTACTTTTTCTGTTGGATTGCACAAGTACGGGCTTTTTTTTAAATTTTATGGGTTTGGCAATATTTTAGTTCCTTGAAAATAACCATTTTAACATATATGACTCCATTATGAGAGTTATATCAAATTTTGATCAGAATCGTTACAAAAAGTTTGTTGTACATAAAATATTTTTCTATGTGCTACATATATCTTGTTATTAACATAACACTTCGTTCAATAATGTGTGTGACTAACTAATTAAAACACATTTTTTTGCCAAAATTCGTTTTTATTCATCAACGTAGTCCCCTTTTAGGGAGATACAATCATTCCAACGCTTTTGCAATCTTTCGATACCGCCGTTGTAATACGGCTCATCATTTGAGCCAAATCTCTTACCACAGAATATCTTTTTGAGGTCTGCGAAGAGCCAGTAGTCGCTGGGGGCCAGATCTGGAGAATACGGTGGGTGCGGCAGCAATTCGTAGCTTAATTCGTTCAATTTTGCATCGTTTTCATCGAATTGTGACACGGTGCATTGTTCTGGTGGAACAAAACCTGTTTCTTCGCCATATGAGGCCGTTTTTTGCTAATTTCGTCTTTCAAACGCTCCAATAACGCTATATAATAGTCGCTGTTGATGGTCTTCCCCTTCTGGAGATAGTCGATGAATATTACAATAACAAATGCTTCTTTTTGATAGAGCAGAGTCCGAATAATGTTTTTCAAGCCATTCCTGGCATTGAACAGTATTTTTTTTCATTAAAAAACAATGATAAATCAGCACACGGAATTGCTATGAATTCATTTTTTTTTGAAAATTCAAAAGTAGCGTCACTTAAAGCACTGTAACTTGTAAACAAATGGTCGGATTAACATATAATTTTGACAGTAAGCCTAAAAAGGTTGCCACTTTCGAAAAAAAATATTTATTTAGTATTAGTGCCGCCATCTATGTGTCAGTCACACACATTATTGAACGAAGTGTTACACATAAATTAACTCAGTATTAATATAGAAGCCTAAATGTTAGTTAGTAATTGTTTTAACA